GCCGAGCAATGCCAAAGTCCCCCAACCGGGGACAGCAAAAGACCGTCACCCCTCCCGACCCTGGAACTGGGAATAGACCAAAAGAAGGATCCAGATTTAAAAAAAAAAAAGATGGTTGCATGTGTTAATCTTCATCTCTCAATGCAAATTAGGAATTCATGGCTGTTTAAGAGGGGAAAGAAAGTGCTGTGGTGTGATTGCACGATAACATTCACTATCTTTCACCCCGGAATTAGATGCTGAGATTTGCTGAATACAATATCTAACCTTATGCACTATGTCAAGAGGACTCTGGTAGGGTTAGGGTTAGTCACTTTTCACTCATCCGTGGTTCTCATAGATTCACAAGGCTCTCCGCCCAAAAATATGGAGAAACCCTTGTTTTAAATAACAGATAACAGATAGTCTGAGTTGGAAGGGACCTTGTAGGCCATCTAGTTCAACCTCCTACCCAAGCGGGAGACCCTACATCATTTCTGACGAATGGCAGTCCAATCTCTTCTTGAAGGTCTCAAGTGATGGCGCTCCCACAACTTCCGAGGGCAAGCTGTTCCATTGGTTGATTGTTTTCACTGTCAGAAAGTTTCTCCTTATTTCCAGGTTAAATCTCTCCTTGTTCAGTTTCCATCCATTATTCCTTGTCTGGCCTACAGGTGCTTTAGAAAATAGCTTGACCCCTTCCTCTCTGTGGCAGCCCCTCAAATATTGGAAGACGGCTATCATGTCTCCCCTGGTCCTTCTCTTCACTAGACTGCCTTAGAAGATAAGCCCAAGATCCAGAATGATCTTGACACAAGTGAGCATTGGGGCCTTTCCAGCAAAATGCAATTCAGTGGTGAGAAAAATAAGGTCTTACACTTAAGCAAGAAAAGCTAAGCGCACATCTATAGAAGAGGTTGTACCAGACTCAAGAGCATTAACTGTGACAGGGACTGAGAAACAGATATGAGCTAGCACTGTGCTGTAATTGCCTAAAAAGTTAATGCGGTCCTAGTTTGCAGCACCAGAGGGATAGTGTCAAGATCACGTGAAGTGTGTTAATATTGTGTGATACTGTATTGCTAAGACTACACTTTGAATACTGCATCCAGTTTTGGTCGCCAGGATACAAAAAAAAAGGTGTTCAGAAAGAATGCACAGAAGAACAACGAAGATTTTTACACATTCCACTATTTCACTTGGCTCAGCTGCAAAGATAGGTTGCTAGGAGTCTGAAAATGACTTGATAGCATGTAATCAGAAGAAGAGATGTTTTTTGGCCTCCTCTCGGATAGACAGCATCTGTGACAGGAAAGCCACCAGTACAGTAGCAGCCTCTCTGGTTGAGCTTCAAGGAGTTAAAACCATCAAGTACTTTATTGTGAGAAAGGATGGAAAGGAGAAGCACAGAGGAACTTCCTCTTCCGCATGGGAGGAGGGTGGCTTGCAGAGAGGGTCTTGCCCTGCCTCTTTCCAGAATCAAAGGGAGAGCTGGCAGGTGAGTTGAGGGCATGTCTGAGGAGAATCCGAGAGCAACTCAGGCAGTTTGGTTCCCTCCACAGCGTGGAAGCAGAGAAGCAGCTAGAATGTGGAAGGGAACTGTGAGGTCATCTAGTCCAGCCCCCTGCTCCAGCAGGAGACCTTATACCATTTCAGGCACATGGCTGTCCAGGCTCTTCCTGAAAGCCTCCAGTGATGGAGCACCCACAGCTTCTGCAGGCAAGCTGGTTAATTGTTCTCACAGTCAGGATATTTCTGCTTGGTTCTCTCCTTGATTCGTTTCCATCCATTATTTGTTGTTCTGCCTTCAGATGCTCTGTGGAAGAGGTTGAGCCCCCCTTCTTTGGGGCAGCCCCTCAAATATTGGAAGACTGCTATCATGTCACCCCTCCTCCTTCTCCTCCTCTTCTGTAGACTAGACACACCCAACTCCTGCAACCATCTCAAGCCCCCAAATAAGCCCCCCAAGAACGCTGTGGTGGCTTCCTCTCTCTGGAACATCATTTCCCCAGAGATCAGAATGGCCCCCGACTCTTCACACTTTTCTGAAAAAACATTTGCCAGTGGGGAACCCAGAGCTGGATGGAGCCCATTAAATGGCTTGTGTGATGTATTGTCACCGGGGTGGAGAACTATTATATTTTTAATGTATTCATTATTTGATTATTTTCTTCTATTAATATATGTGTGTGTGTATACACACACACACACACACACACACACACACACACACACACACATATATGTATGGTATTCAGCTTTCTTCGGGTATTTTCCCACGTCATTATAGTTGTGCTTTTAAAGTTGTAGCAACGTTTCGGCAGAATCTCATCTGCCATCAACTAGGTTCAACTAAAAAGGTCCTATTGAGGACCTTTTGGGGATGTTCAATTTAAATAGGTAGTCCTCGCTTACCATTTGATCAGTGATGGGATTTAAAAATTTAGCTACCAGTTCTGCTTGGTGGGCATGACAGGGGAAGGATACTGCAAAATCCCCATTCCCTCCCCAATAACCTCACTAACCTGCTTTCCAGCTCCATTCTCCTGTGCAGGGCAACAAAAGGAGACCCAGCCAATCAGCTGGGACTTGGGAGGCAGAGAATAGATGGGGGCGGAGCCAGTCAGAAGTGGTATTCCAAACTACTCAAAATTTCCGCTACCAGTTCTCCAGAACTGGTCAGAACCTGCTGAATACTACCTCTGCATTTGTTTCATGAGCCTTCAATGTTACTATGGCATTATAAAAGCGGTATATAAGTCTAAATAATATTGCTATAAATAATAAAAAGTTCTTCCTTATATTTCCAAAATTCATTGCCTTTGTATCATACCCTAACCATATCATACCATAAATAATCATGCCATCAAAATTTTAATTCATGTCCCTCTAGCTCAAGTAACCCCCTTATTTGGAGAGTCACTCACTCTTTGCCAGACAAAACAACAAGCACCAAAGTACATTTTCAAATCTGGTAAAACCAAGCCTCCTCTTTCTTTAGCATCTTGCAATAATTTATATTTAATTCTTGGGTTTTTTCCCCCTTTGCAATATAAACTTAAGAGATTTCCATCTGCCATTGTTTAAATGGAGTATCACAAGTATTGCTAAAGTTTGAAACAGAAAATGTATGTTTAGTAATTAGGGATCTGGAGGCTAAAACATATACAAAGAATGGTTACGGGAATTGGGTATGTCTAGTCTAATGAGAAGGATTAGCGGAGACGTGATAGCTGTGTTCCAATATTTGAAGGGCTCCTACCAAGAGAAAGACAAGTCAAACTATTTTCCAAAGCACCAAAAGAAACAATGGATGGAAACTTAGCAAGGAGAGAAGCAACCTAAAACTAAAAAGAAAATTCCTAGCAATTACAGCAAGCAATCAATGGAATAGCTTTCCTTCAGAAGTTTTGAGTGCTCCAACATTGGAGGCTTTCAAAAAGAGATTTGGTGGCCACTTGTCTGAAATGGTATAAGATCTGTTGCTTGAGCAGAGGATTGGAATAGAAGACCTTCAAAGTCCTTTCCAAATCTATTATTGCATGTTGTATTGATCTTAATTACAGAGATTATAATTGCCATACAAATAATTTGTGATTGACCAAAGTCAACAAGAGTATTGCAATCTTGAATGTGTCAAATAAATCATAATTAATGTAAGGTTATTTAACATTGGGACATGTTTGCATTTTACCTGTAATGTATATATTTTTCTTTTTTCACATCATCTGCAACCATTTTATAAGCAATAAAAGTTACATTTTTTCTTTGAATCTTACAGGCAAAACAGATGCGAATAAAAGCACTCCTGTCAACTGAGAATAACAAGCAAGGTTAAAAAGGAAATCAAATAAAGCCATAAATCAAAATATTTTCCATTTCTTTCAGAAAACCCCCAAATTCTTCTCCTTCTCCAGCAGATGATTAGAACTGGAAAAAGTAGAGTATGCAGAACACAAGGATACATTACAGGTAGTCCTCAACTTACAACAGTTCATTGAATGACTGTTCAAAGTTACAGTGACACTGAAAAAAATGACTTATGACCATTTTTCACACTTATGACTTTTGCAGCATCCCCATAGTCATGTGATTTATATTTTGATGTTTGGCAGCTAACTCACAGTTATGATGGTTATGACATAGGAGAGAAGCCCTACAAATGCTCCCAATGTGGTGAGAATGGCAACTAGGTGATACATTAGAGAACTCATACCAGAGAGAAACCCTTTGAATGTTCTGATTGTGGGAAAAGTTCTGGTCAGAACTCCGGCCTGGTGATACTCTAGAAGATGCACACAGAAAAGAAATCATATGAGTGTCCTGATTGTGGGAAATGTTTCAGTGGGAATTCCAAGTTGGTGATTCACCAGAGGACTCACACTGGAGAGAAACCCTTTGAATGTCCTGATTGTGGGAATAGTTTCAGCCAGAATTCCCACCTCATGGTACACCAGAGGACTCACACAGGAGAGAAACCCTTTGAATGTCCTGATTGTGGGAAATCTTTCAGTTTGAATTCCAACCTGGTGAAACACCAGAGGATTCACACAGGATACAAGCCTTTTAAATGTACTGATTGTGGGAAAACTTTCTGTCAGAATTCCAACCTGGTGAAACACCAGAGGACTCACACAGGATACAAGCCCTTTCAATGTTCTGATTGTGGGAAGTGTTTCACTATAAAATACCAACTCATGAATCACCAGAGGAGTCACACAGGAGAGAAACCATTTGAATGTGTTCTTTGTAGGAAAAGATTCAGTCAGAATTATCAGCTGATGATACATCAGAGAACTCACACAGGAGAGAAACCATTTGAATGTGCTCTATGTGGGAAAAGTTTCAGACAGAATACCCAGCTGGTGGTACACCAGAGGACTCATATAGGAGAGAAACCGTATGATTGTCCAATTTGTGGGAAAAGTTTCAGTGACAATTCCAACCTGGTGAAACACAAGAGGATTCATACAGGAGAGAAATCATATCAGTGCCAATATTGTGAGGAAAGTTTCATTAAAAAATTCCAGCTCACAAGTCACCAGAGGACACACACAGGAGACAAACCCTTTGAATGTGCTATTTGTGGGAAAAGTTTCAGTCACAATTTCCGCCTGGTGATACACCAGAGGATTCACACAGGAGAGAAACCCTTTGAATGTCCTGTTTGTGGGAAACGTTTCATTAAAAATTACTACCTCACGATACATCAGAGGACACACACAGGAAAGAAACCTTTTGAATGTCCAGATTGTGAAAAACGTTTCACTCACAATTCCAGCCTGGTGACACACAAAAGAACTCACACAGCAGAGAAACACTTTGAATGTCCTTATTGTGAAAAAGGTTTCAGTCAAAGTTCCAACCTGGAGATACACCAGAGGACTCACACAGGAGGGAAACACTTTGAATGCCCTGATTGTGGGAAAAGTTTCATTAGAAAATACCAGCTTATTAGGCACCAGAGGATACACACAGGATATAAACCTTTTGAATGTCCTGTCTGTGGGAAAGGTTTCAGTCAGACTTCCAGCCTGGTGACACACCAGAGGACTCACACAGGAGAGAAACCATATGAGTGTCCTGTTTGTAGCAAAAGTTTCAGTCAGAATTCCAATATGGTGATACACCAGAGGACTCACACAGGAGAAAAACTCTTTGAATGTCCTGATTGTGAGAAAACTTTCAATCAGAATTCCAGCCTGGTTACACACCAGAAGACTCACACAGGAGAGAAACTGTATTAGTCTCCTGTATGTGGCAAATGTTTCAGTCAGAATTCCAACATGGTGAAACAGCAGAGGACTCACATGGGAGAGACCTTTCAAACGTGCAGTCTGTGGACGGGCCTTCAGGTGTAAATTACTCCTTATTGTATACAAGGAAATCCACATGAGGCAAAATTTGATGAGTTTAGAGAAGGCTTGAATTTCATTCCTGATCTCCCATTGAGAGTGTAGGTGAGAGAATGACTCTTTGAATCCTGGCCTGATTCTTTTTATTCAACACATCTCAGATTTAGACCAGTAGGTGGAGAGAAAAAGGTGGAAACTGTTTCATAAAGGCTGTTCAGAAATTGTGAAATTTCTCAAAAAGGTTTTTGGGTGGTAGTTTTTGTATATTGATTGTGGAATTCCACCATGTGGAGTTTCCGTCTTCTACCTTGATGTCCTCCGGATTACGTGTGCCATAATTCCCCAGCCTCATACAAGTAGTCCTCAAGATACAACTAGAATGGAGCTTGCCAATTTTGGTTTCATCTTATAATAATGGTTAAGTGGCATTACCTAGCTGAACTACCTCCATCCTCTTCTCTCCCTAATGAAGCTGTCAAATGAATGTGCAAGTTGTTAAGTGGAACAGTGGCTTTCTGAGGCCATGTATCCCTGGGGCATATGATAAGTGAACAAATACCCCTTGTGTTAGTGTTGTGCTGCAGCTCCCAAAAAACAACCAATGCAGTTGTAGGCTGCATCAACAGGAATAATGTCAAGACAACAAGAAGAGATAGAATTTCTTTGCTTGCTTAGAATACTGTGTCCAGTTCTGGTCACCATGACACAAAAAAGTTGTTGAGACCCTGGAAAGTGTGCAGTGAAGAGCGACAAAGATGATAATGGGTCATTAGGAGGGACCTGAGAGCTGTCTTCCAATACTTGAGCAACTGTCACAAAGAAGAATGGATTGACTTATTCTCTAGGATGCCAGACGGAAGGACAAAAAGTAATGGTGGAAGCTTGTTAAAATGACGTCCACTCAGAAGTAAAGAGAAATTGTCTGTCACTGAGAGCAATTAATCAATGCAATAGCTCACCTCCAGGGTTTGTGCACGTGCTCCATCGCTGGAGGTTTTCAAGAATAGGCTGGAGAACCATTTGAGTGGGATGGTACAGGTAATCCTCTGGTTACAACCGTAATGGAGCCTGCCCATTCCACTTGCAACCTGAGGATTTGTGGGGGTGAATCTTGTACCTTGAATGTGATCACTCCCCCCTTTTGCCCACTTGTTAAGTGCACATGAGGTATCACGGGATGGGGAAGGCCAAGGGGGGCCCTAGTGATGGAACAGGCCACCTGCTGCAGACCACCCAAGGCCTCCCCGACCCACTGAAATACCTCATGCTTCCCACAATGGCTTCTCTGCCCCCCACTTGCTCTGGGTCACTTACCTTGTGAAGATCTGTCTCCTCTCCAGTGCCTCTGTTTCTTCGTCTGCTCCCAGTGAGGGGTGTGAGCAGAGGAACAGCAGGATCAGAGGCCCTGCTCAGTTTCTCTGATTACCGAGCCTGCCAGCCAATTCTGGAATGGCAGGCAGCTTCAAAGAGTCTCCTCCAAAGGCTTCCAGGCTCCATGTGGAAAAGCGTTTGCATGAAGTGAGGTTTGGGGACAGGGAACTCACATTCCTCCAAGCCCCTCATTAGCATGCAACTACTTTTCCTGCAGAGACTGGAACCTTCTAGGTGCCCTGATCCCGCAGAATGTCAGACACCCATTCTCTAAGTAGATGTGTGCCTGAACTCACGCGAGACTATACACCCCAAGCATTTCCAGTTTTCACCCAGAACGATCCTGAGGGGGAGGTTGGAAACGGAACGAATTGACCAAGAGAAAGGGGACCTCTCAGAGCAGAAATGTTTTTTGCTCACTGGGATCTTTCACATCCTGGATAATCCACCAGCTGGATAGGAAGACAATTATCCCCCCCACCCGCAGTGATGCTTCCAGGAAATGGCGTCCACTTCAAATGACTAAGTCCTAGAATTCCCTAGGTGTTATTGAAGAGGTTCCCCTAAACTAGCCTGGTAACAAAATGTTCAGAAACCAACCAACAAACGTGGAGAACAAACCTTCACCCTCAGTTATTGAATAAAGTTTGGGTTTAGGCAGTTTAGCATCTAGCAGGAGTACTATGGAGCAGTCACTTGGCTAGTGGGGTGGGAGCTCATCTCAACCATTCTCACTAAATACATCCTGCAATTCCTATGGAATTTGAGGGTTAGCCTTCTTTTTCTCTTGCATTACAGCCTCCACCTCCTGCCTCGGTTTTGGGGCCCCTGGGTCCCTTCCCAGATCTCCTTTTACGTTAGTCCTCTGGATTTTAAGAAGCCACCTCCTCCAGTTCACACAGGGGTTCCATTTCCGTAGCCATTGTACTCCTAGTACGAGGGGTCTTTCCATACCCAGCACTACGATGAAACTCTGAGTCTCTGTTTTTCCCCCCACATCTGTATTTCTACCAGCTCGGTGATGAATGCCACTGGAATCCCCCTTGCTATAGATCTGTCCAGCTGGCAAAAGGCTACGGGCACCTCATCAGTTGCATTTTGAAAATAATTTTGGGACAGTGACACCCAGTGGTGATGGTGGGGGAAGCCAACACTTTAGAACAGTGGCCCCCAACCTTTTTTGTACCACGGCCCGGTACCGGCATCACAAAATGATCCACGGACCAGTACCGGCATCAGCACGCACGACCAAGGCAAGGCGAGCCGAGCGACTGGCCAGCCAGCCGTCCCCCACTTCTCCCTGCCACCTTCAACTCCTCCTTTGTACCTTCTCACGGTCGATGGGCTTTTCGGGCTCTTTCTTAATCTCCTCCTGAGTAACACGAGACTCCACCGCCATCGGGACGGCTCTTCGTTCGAAGCCGGCGCCCCCCCTTCAACGAAACTAAGGCGAGGATTCCTTCAGCACCCAAACGCTGCTTTCCATCCAACCGATGACCGACAAGCTCACCCGGAAGCACTTTCTGAAGCGCCGTCAAAACAAGATGGCGGCGCCCAAGCAAAATAGGCAGCCCAGTACAAAATGGTCCATGGAACAGTATCGGTCCAGGGCCCGGTGGTTGGGGACCCCTGCTTTAGAAGATATGCCCAAGATCCAGAAGGATCTTGACACATGTGAGCACTGGGCCCTTTCCAGCACAATGCAATTCAGTGGTGAGAAAAATAAGGTCTTACACTTAAGACAAGAAAAGCTAAATGCACATCAATGGAAAAGATTGTACCTTGCTCAACAGCAATAACTCTGACAGGCACCTAGAAATGCATAGGTGCTAGCAATGTGCTGTAATTGAAAGTTAATGCAGTCTTAGTGTGCAGCACCGGAGAGAGTGTGTCAAGATCGCATGAAGTGTGTTAGTACTGTATTATACTGTATTGGTAAGACTACACTTTGAATACTTCATCCAGTTTTGGTCACCAGGATACAAAAACGGTGTACAATCTCTAGAAAGTGCAGAGAAGAAGAACAAAGACATTTAGGGGACTGGAGAATAAAACCTATGATGAACAATTGTAGGAATTGGATACCACAGAGGACTAGGGGTGATATGATAGCAGTCTTTCAAATGTGAAGTTGAATCTTGGTCTGACACAGAAAAGAGGGGCTGACACAGAGGAGAGAGTTAATGGAAACACAATGGATAATATAACAGATATAAGTTAACTGTATAAATGTATACAAGATATATAACTGTATGTATGACAAAAATGATGTCAGGACAACTGTTTGTTGTCCCCAATTTGGGTCTGAGCCTGGTGCCGAAGTAGCCAATGATAGACACCAGACACGAGGTGCAGGTTTTCTGATTGCTTTTTATTGGAGTATTCCAAGGAAAAGGGCTCCTGGTCAAAATGCCAAGAACCAAGAACAAAGGATTGAGTAAGTTTTTATACATTTTCACTAAAGGTAAAGGTGGGACAAAGCGAGATAATAAGAAATATCATCTAATAAACACTTTAGTAATAATTCTACAATTTGGTCTATTGGTCTCTAGCTGTCCCTATTCCCGAGTCTTGGCTAATGAATGCCCTAGGAATTATCTAATATACATTTGATTTGCTTCAGGCTATCTCTATTCCTAACTTTTAGCTGAGGTCTGCAAGTTGTCTAACTCCTGTTACTATTATCAGCTTTCTAATTAGCCAGGGTTGTTACAAGATTTACACATGCATATTTCCCATGGATAAAAATTCTTTGTTCTTGCCAGACAGACTCCACAATTACAGGCTTCCTGATTTACTTTCACATGTGTGTATGACCTTGATTTATTTTAGCAGACAGCCCATCCCAATCGTGTCCAATATTTTAATGATGTAATCAATAAAACATTTAGAAAAAAGAGAGTTGGTTTATTCTCCAAAGCGCCTAAGCGCAGGGCAAGAAGTAACAGAGGGAAACTGATCAAAAATAGATCCAATGTGGAATCAAGCAGAAAGCTCCTGTCGGTGAGAACAAGTGGAATGGCTTGTTTCTAGATGGGTTCTCCATCAGTGGAAGTTTGTAAGAGGAGATTCGATAGCCAACTGTCCAGAATCAAATAGAGTTGTCTGCTTTGAGACTCAGTCCCTTCCAACTCATACTCTGTAATTCTGTAAGAACTCCATGCACTTGCTCAGCATGCAGCTAAATCTTCACAAATTAAGTGCACAATTCATTATTCCACTTGGCTCAGCTGCAAAGATAGGTTGCTAGGAGTCTGAAAATGACTTGATAGCATGTAATCAGTGACTTGATAGCATGTAATCAGTGAAAACATCTGGCCGATGCCATAGTTTGAGATGGGAGGAGCGCACAAGCCTGTTTTGGGGCCTCTCATTGTGAGATGGCAGTCAGATAGGCAGCATCTGTGACTGGAAAGCCAACAACACAATAGCGGCCTCTCTGGTTGACCTTAAAGGAGTTAAAACCATCGAGTACTGTATTACTAGAAAGGATGGGAGGAGAGAAGAAGCACAAAGGAACTTCCGGGAGTGTGGTGCAGAGAGACTCTGGTGCCTCTTCCAAGGATCAAAGCATCAGCTGGCAGGTGAGTTGAGGGCAGGTCGGAGGAGAATTTGGGAGCAACTCAGGCTGTTTGGTTCCCTCCACGGCGTGGAAGCAGAGAAGCAGCTAGAATGTGGAATAACACTTGGAAGGGATCTTTGAGGTCATCTAGTCCACCCCACTGCTCCAGCAGGAGACCTTATACCATCTCAGGCACATGGCTGTCCAGGTTCTTCCCGAAAGCCCCCAGTGATGGAGCACCCACAGCTTCTGCAGGCAAGTTGGTTAATTGTTCTCACAGTCAGGAAACGTCTCCTTGTTTCTAGGTTGCTTCTCCTTGATTCGTTTCCCTCCACTGTTTCTTGTTCTGACTTCAATTTGGAGTTGCACCAATTTGGGTTCTGCCAACCGGTTGCACATTTCTGATGGTTGCAGCATCCCACATTTATGATCCCCATTTGTGATCTTCCCAACTAGCTTCTAAGAAGTAAAATCCGTGGGGATGCCAGCAGGAAGTTGCAAGTCACAGCTATGTGAAATTGCCTTTAACAACCCACAGGGATTTGCTTAAAAACTGCAGAGGAACAGATGTAAGTTGACACTATTGCGTGATATCATGCTTCATGACTGGGCTGCTTAGTGATGCAAATGCCAGTCCCAAATGCAGTCAGTAAGTGAGGACTACTAAAATAGAAATGTCACCAAGGTGTTTGTGGAAAGTATTTTCTGCCTTATTTGGATTTCAGGACTTCCATGGGCAAAATGGGTGCTTCAAATCTTGCAGAGGCTTTAATCATCATTTCATCAGTTAAAGCCCCCACATCTCTAAAAGTAGCTCAAAAGATTTGACTGTAACCATTTTGGGAGATTTTTGTCAGGCTGAAAACACATGGATGTTTCACATATATAAACAGTGGTTTCAGTTTTAAATCTGGGGCCAGCCTATTGCTGTGCCAGAATGTTTTTTTCTTCATCCTGATTGGTTATGAGTCTTGGTCTGTGTTTATTGGTCTTGAGGTTTGCTGTGTTCCGCTTGATTGGTGTTTCTAATATCTTCTGTCTGTTTTGTCTGGCTCTTTTTGGGTCTTGATTGGCAATGTTGCCAGCCAAAGAAGGATCTTGACACATGTGAGCACTGGGGCCTTTGCAGCAAAATGCAATTCAGTGGTAAGAAAAGTAAGGTCTTACACTTAAGACAAGAAAAGCTAAATGCACATCAATGGAAAAGATTGTACCTTGCTCAACAGCAATAACTGACAGACACCTAGAATGCATAGGTGCTAGCAATGTGCTGTAATTGAAAGTTAATGCAGTCCTAGTGTGCAGCACCAGACGAGTAGTATCACAATCACATGAAGTATTAATACTGTGCTATCCTCCATTGGTAAGACTACACTTTGAATACTGCATCAAGTGTTGGTCACCAGGATACAAAAAAGGTGTTCAAATGCCAGGAAGAATACAGAGAACAACAGACATTTAGGGGACTGGAGGGTAAAACCCATAATGAACAATTGTAGGAATTGGATAACACAGAGAAAGTCTAGGGGTGATATGATAGCAGTCTTTCAAATGTGAACTTGGATTTCAGTAATCTCGGCTGTGTTAAATGATAATGAATGTAAGATGTTCTTTTAGCATTGTGGCATCTTCGCTTTTTAGCTTTAATGTACATGCTTTTCTTTTTTCACATCTTCAGCAACCATTTTATAAAAATAAAAATTACTCTTTCCTTTGAATCTTATAGAGAAAGAAGATGCTCATAAGACCACTCCGGACAACTGAGAATAACAAGCAACATTAAAAAGGAAAGCAAAACAATCCAGAAATTGTGTTCTGGGGTCCTGTGATCCCTTTTTGCAGCTGCACAGAGGTGTTTATTGTGGGAAAATCACAACGGAGTATGCACAAAATGATCCACATTGGAGAGAAGTAATACTAATGTGGCCAAAGTTTTGGTTAGAACATCTCCCTGGTGGTTCATGGGTGGACCCACATAGGAGAGGAGCCCTGCAAGTGCTCCCAATGTAGTGAGCATGGCAACTAGGTGAAACATTAGAGAACTCATACCAGGGAGGAACCTTTTGGATTCTCTGACTGGGGGAAAAGTTTTGGTCTGAACTCCGGCCTGGTGATATGCTAGAAGATGCACAGAGAAAAGAAATCATATGAGTGTCCTGATTGTGGGAAATGTTTCAGTAAGAATTCCAACCTGGTGAACCATCAGAGGATTCACACAGGAGAGAAACCTTTCGAATGTCCTGACTGTGGGAAGAGTTTCAGTCAGAATTCCCATTTGGTAATGCACCAGAGGACTCACACAGGAGAAAAACCGTATGAGTGTCCTGTTTGTGGTAAAGGTTTCACACGGAATTCCAACATGGTGTTACATCAGAGGACTCACACAAGAGAGAAACGCTTTGAATGTTCTGATTGCGGGAAATATTTCATTAAAAAATCCCAGCTTATCAATCACCAGAGGACTCACACAGGTGAGAAACCCTTTGAATGTGCTCTTTGTGGGAAAAGTTTCAGTCAGAGTTCCAACCTGGTGAAACACCAGAGGGCTCACACGGGAGAGAAACCCTTTGAATGTGCTCTTTGTGGGAAAAGTTTCAGTCAGAATTCGAACCTGGCGAAGCACCAGAGGACTCATACAGGAGGGAAATCATATCAGTGTCCATATTGTGCAGAAAGTTTCATTAGAAAATTTCAGCTCATGAATCACCAGAGGACACACACTGGGGACAAACCCTTTCAATGTGCTTTCTGTGGGAAAAGTTTCACTTACAATTGCGACCTGGTGATACACCAGAGGACTCACACAGGAGAGAAACCATTTGAATGTCCTCTTTGTGGAAAATGTTTCATAAAAAATTACTCCCTTGTGACACACCAGAGGACTCACTCAGAAGAGAAACCCTTTGAGTGTCCTGATTGTAAAAAACGTTTCAATTACAAATCCAGCCTGGTAACACACCAGAGGACACACGCAGCAGAGAAACACTTTGAATGTCCTGATTGTGAAAAACGTTTTAGTCAAAGTTCCATCCTGGTGATACACCAGAGGATACACACAGGAGGTAAACACTTTGATTGTCCTGATTGTGGGAAAATTTTCATTAAAAAATACCAGCTCACAAGGCACCAGAGGACACACACAGGTGAGAAACCCTTTGGATGTGCTATCTGTGGGAAATGTTTCAGTAAGAAATGCCATCTGGTGACACACCAGAGGACTCACACAGGAGAGAAACCATATGAGTGTCCTGTTTGTGGCAGAAGTTTCAGTGAGAAGTCCAACATGGTGACACACCAGAGGACTCACACAGGAGAGAGACCGTATTAGTGTTCTGTTTGTGGAAAAGTTTCATTAGAAATATCAGATATGAGATACCAGAGGATACATACAGGAGAGAAAACCGTTGAATGCCCTGATTTGTGGGAAACATTTCCATTTTAATTCAAACCTGGTAAAACACCAAAGGACTCAGCAGGAAAGACCTTTCAAATGTCCAGTCTGTGGACAGTACTTTAGGCCTAAATAACTCCTCATTGCATTCAAGAAAATTCGCATGAGGCAAAAGTTGATGAGTTTGGAGAGGGTTTGAATTTCATTTCTGAACTCCCATTGAGAGTGTAGGTGAGAAATAGATTCTGAATATCTGGATAGTTTCTATTGTCTATCTTGTTGTCCTCCAGATTATGAGGGCCATAATTCCCCAGCCACCATACAAGTAGTCCTTGAGATACACCTGTAATGGGCCCTGCCAATTTTGTTTGCTTATTGTAATTGTGGTTAACTGAGATTATCTTGTTGATCTACCCCAACCCCCTTTTCCCTATGATGAAGATGTCAAATGAATGTGCAAGTAGTTAAGCACAACAATGGCTACCTCAGAGTTTGGGGAAAATTGGAGGCCTAGGACAGGCCCAGGCTTGCCTTCCAAAGGCTTTCCCTGTCACAACCTTTGGATCCTCCCGGACCTTTCCCTTCCTCAGAGGTCCCCATTGACCTTTCACTCTACTCCTCCTCCATAACTTTTGAAGATCTCTGAACCTCATGGGGGAAGAGTGCAGCACGTGCATCTCTTGCCTGCGTGACTGCATCGTGGAAGCAGCTGTAACTTTGACTGTGCCCAAGATTCATCCCTCGGCCATGCAGTGGACTTGTGGAAGCAGCTGCCATTTTGCTCTGTGTCAATTTGGTGGTTGCTTCTGGGTCACTGGCTGTTCTGTTTTGCTACCTTAACACTGTGTTAATGAGTTGTGGCTGCACTGAAAATGGTGGCCGTCTCTGGGAAATCTCCAAAATGGTAGGACATGTATCCTTGGGGCATATGATAAGTGGCCCAGTACCCCTTGTGCCATTATTGTGCTGCCAAAAGCAACCAATGCAGTTGTAGGCTGCATCAACAGAGGAATAATGTCAAGACAACAAGGATAGAAATGCTACACACAGTCCTGGTGATACCACAGATAGAATACTATGTCCAGTTCTGGTCACCATGATACAAAAAAGTTGTTGAGACCCTAGAAAATGTGCAGAGAAGAGCAACAAAGATGATAAAGGCTCAATTGGGACATGATAGCTATCTTCCACTACATGAGCATCTGTCACAAAGAAGAGCGGATTGACTTATTCTCTAGGGCAAGGGTGTCAAACTCTATTTCATATAGGGCCGAAGTAGCAATGCAGTTGTCCTTTGGGAGCTGGTGGTGTGGAGGGACACGGCTGGGCTAGTCGCAGAGACTGGGCAAGGCCTAGGTGGTGGCTAGCTTGATGTGGCTCATGTGGGTGGTAACTGTGGGGGGCGGGACAGGTTTGGGAGGGAATCCAGGGGTCTCGGGTGGGTAGGGCAGTGGGCGGCAGGCTCATCCTGCAGGATAAGATGAGGCAAGGCAGGAGGAAGGCAGCTACAGTCAGAAACCATCCACCACCACACACTCGCCACCCTTTGTATGTGGGAGGGGATGGTTTGTGGCTGTAGCCACAGCCTGATGGCCCCTCAACTGATGGTGCACTGCAGCTCCAGAGCCCACTGGGCTGGCCTTCCAAGCAGCAAGTGGAGATTGGAGAGAGGAGCATGATACGGACTACTGGACGTTCTTACTCCGTCCCACTATCTGTTTTGGCTTGAGGTTTGAGCACAGGTCACCTCTGGTCATCTTCTTGGCCCCCCTCACAGGTCCTGCCCTTGGCCTGCATGTGGAGTGTGTTCTTGCATACCTAACTGCAGCGGCCCATAGAGCGGTGAGATACATTGGAAACATGACAGCTGTGCTTCACCAACAGGCCCGTCAGGAAATGGGTGGGTGCAGTGCCTCCCCTCCCGCTACCAGATCCTAATGCGTGCCCATCCGTGCTTCCCAGAAGCGCAGCAGGTGACAGGATAGGAAGCGGCACCCATTCCAAGGCTGGAGGAAGAAGGCCTTTCCATGGGAAGTGGGCCTTTGAGCCCCAGGCACCAGTTTGGGCGGTGCCCTGCTGATTCATCCTGCTAGCGCTGAGCTGCCCCGCTGCTTACCAGACACCTCCATGTGGCCAAAGTGTCCCCATCCACACAGGGGCACCTCTTTATAGAGTGGGGAAGGTTCGCTGGGTGAAGTCTCACTGCTGTCCTCTGCATGCTCCTCCGGGGTTGTCAGGGAAGGTCTCCGCAGAAGATATGCAGTGTGTGGGAGCTATTGCCAGGGGTGGCCTGCCTCACCGGGTTGCTGGGAGTGCCTGAGGGTGGGATCTATGCAACTCCAGAGGGTAAGGGATGCGGGGATGGGAGCTCCATCAGTGGCTCGTCTTACCTTGGCCATGACCTCCCAGGCCCTCTGCAATGGCACTTGAAACGGTCGAGCCACACCTTCTGCAAACACCAGCCAAGCAGGAAATTTGCCTGCAATCCTCAACTCAGAACGGAGATGCAGCAAGGGGCCACAAGACAGAAGGATGCTTTCAGCAGAGCTGCTTCCATCCAGGTAAGGGGCCACAACTTCCGGGTCTCCGTCTGAAGGAATTGCATCAGCCAGGCAGCACCCCAACAGCGCTCTGAAACGGCTGATTTTTCCACCAAGAAGCCCTGGGGAAGGGGGCATGTCATTGGGGTCTCTATGACAGGGTTCCAAGTAAAATCCCCAAGCAATCTAGAACTCTTGAGACAAAGTCCACCAAAGTAAGAATTTATTAAGAGCACTCATGTTGGCACGTCTGGGGAAAACCTGAACCTGAATTCCCGTGGTTTCCTCCTGCCACACTAAAACTCATACCCTGCCCCATTTAGTGATTCTCAGATCACGTTGGCCAATCAATCTCCTGTCTCAACTACCGCCAAATTCCAGTCACTCCCCTCCAGGCGCCAGCAGCTTTTCCTGGATCGCTGGCGAAAGAACGTTGTTGCGGCTATACTCCCTTTGCTGCTGTCCTGTTCCCACAGCTTGCCCATCCCCCACAGTGGCAGCCCAGAATCTTGTCTCAAGATGGATCAGGGGCTGACACTCTACACCTGACAGCTCCTGGGTGGCAACTGCCCTGTCACTTGGCAAGACTCACCCAGCCCGAAGGAGGCGAAGTGCCCAGCTAGAAAGACTTAAGTAGACTTAAGTAGAGCAAGCAAAAATGACCACTGCGAGCTGAGAAAGCTGGATCCCCATTGGCGCAATGGCTGCCCAAGCCCAGCAGAGATGGGGAAAGGCACGCTATCCCATCTGGGCCTGGGTAGACATGGTGCCACTGGGGATCTGTCCCTGCTCATGGTGGCCCTCTTGCCTGCTTGGCTTAGGCATGCTCTACCACCTCCTTTCAGGCTGGGCGGGCCTGATGTTCCAGGCGATGATGGCCTGTTATGTCTCACCTGTACCAACAAGGTGAGAAGTCCCAATTTCCAACTAAACACAAACAAGCAAGCAAGTCCAGTAATTACAGGGTTAAATTCCTTGAGCCGATAAAGTTCTTGGCAGTCTCACACAAGCTGTCTGCCAAGTCAGGAGCATAAATCACAAGCTGTCTCTGCACACAGGATATTCCGAAGCTTCTCTCACTAAGTAACATGTTGTCCCGAACAAGTTCCCAGAGCGAACACACCCACTTTTATTCCCTGTGGGGTATGTCAGTCCCTCATCTCAGTCCCTGATTCGTCCTTTCTTTCTGCGTTGTAGCTCACACTTTTGCCTGCACCGTTGCCTCGCATCAAGCCAGCATTCCTCAGCTTGATCCTCAGTCAGAGGCTCTGATAGGCCCCCCTGGTTATCTGCCAACACCTGAGGCACAATCAGGGAGGAAGGTCTTGCCGAAGAGGAAAGTCCTGGGGAGGAAGGCAACTCCAAATCCTCTAACAAAGCAGGCTCAAACCTCAGAGCCAAATC